TATGCCTGTGTCATCTGGGTGAGAGTCTCCTTGTTGGGGAAGTTTACTATTATTATAGTCAGTCATGAGGCTTGAACTCAGGGCCTGGGCACTGTCCCTGAGCTCTTTTTGTTCAAGGCTAGTCCTCTACCACTTTGAACCACAGTGCCACTTCTAGTTTTCTGGTGGTGAATTGGCGGTAAGAACCTGATGGAATTTCCCGCATAGGCTGGCTTTGAACCAGGATCTTCAGGTCTCAGCCTTGTGAGTAGCTAGGATTATAGGCGTGAATCACCTGTGCCTAGCTTTCTTAAATAGGTTTTCAATGCCTTTAGTTTTGAGTTGTTCTCCCTTGTTCAATATTTTAGCTGAATCCACCAACTCTTTTTTTTTTTTGGGTCCGGTTGTGGGGCCTGAACTCTGGGCATGGGCACTGTCCCTCAGCTTTTCAGCTCAAGGCTAGCGCTCTACCACTTGAGCCACAGTGCCACTTCCGGCTTTTTTTCTTTTTGCTTATGTGGTGCTGGGGAATCGAACCCAGGGCCTCATGCATGCAAGGAAACAACCCAACAACGAGCCACCTTCCCAGCCCCTCCACCAACTCTTTAATGTCCCTTTGGTATGTTCTGAGTGTTTGTTCTATTCCTTTTTTTGTTCTAATTCCTCTGCTTTATCCTCAACTTCTGATACCCTATTTTCTACTTCATTTATTCTATTGTCTGGATTTTCAACTGTGCTTTTCAATAGGGAGACAGATCCTTTCATGTTTTCTAGCCTTTTTTGATGTCAGTTCTCAGGGTGTTAATCTTGTCTCTCATTTCCTTCATTGAGGTATGTAATGTTCTTACATCTTACCATGTCACCTTGGATGTTCTGCGTTTTCTTCATTTCCTCTCTATATTCTTCTAGTTGATCTTGGATCTTCCCTTTTATTTCAATAGCCAATTCCCTCATTGCTTTAATTTTGTTCTTCTTCACTGTCTGTCTTCCCTGAGCTGTTGATTTTTGAGGGTGGCATATCATCTTGATTGTTGATGAGTTTTGTAATCTTTCACTGTGATTCATGCACTTGGGTTCTGGGGCTGCTGGTGCTGGTCAGTTTAGGTATTCATTTCAGTTATGGGATGCAGTTCTCTGGAACCCTGACTGACTGAGCCTGGAGGCATTCGGTACACAGTGCTGTGAGGTCCCAGCCGGGAGTTTGGCCTGACCCACATGGAGGGTGGATTATTATTTTCATAAAGGTGACATCTTCTGTTAGGGAATGAGTGCATTTCTTTGTGGACAGTGTCTACTCTTCCCTTGCTCCCTCCCAGCTTGGTGGAAGTTTTCTGTTGTTTTTTTTTTCTGTTGGTCATGGGGCTTGAACTCTAGGCCTGGGCGCTGTCCCTCAGCTCTTCAGCTCAAGGCTAGCGCTCTACCACTTGAGCTACAGCACTACTTCTAGTTTTCTAGTGGTTTACTGGATATGAGTGTAGGACTTCCCTGTCCAGGCTGGCTTTGAACCATCATCCTCAGATCTCAGCCTCCTGAGTAGTGGGGATTACAGGCGTGAGCCACTGGCACCTGGCTGTGGTGGAATTTTAATTGTTATGGGAAACTCTTCCAAGATTACACCATATAGTCTTATGAGCCAGGCACTGGTCACTCATACCTGTAATCCTGGCTACTCAGGAAATCTGTGGATCATGGTTTGAAGCCAGCCTAGACAGGGAAGTCCATGAAACTCGTCTCTAATTAACCACCAAAAAGCTATTAGTGGAGCTGTGGGTCGAGTGGCAGAGTACTAGCCTTGAGCAAAAAAGCTCAGGAACAGTGTGTGGGCTGAGTTCAAGCTCCAGGACTGGCACCAAAAAAAGAGAAAGGTTTTGGTGGGTCTGGTGTTTTTTTTTGTGGATTGGCATTAAGTTGTGAAAGCTGGCTTTCCTGTAGCTCACCTTAGAGCCCGATGAAGGGGGCTCCCGTTAGGAAAGGTCTGATGGCAGCTGGCCCCCAGAGTCCTGCCTACTGGGTTCTCTGTGGGGAGCATCAGGCAGCCCACAGGTGATGGAGAAAGAGAGTGTATGTTTCCATGAGAAAAACCATAAAAGAGGCTCAGTCTGTACTTACCTTGCCTCCGCCTCTTCCACTCTGTTGCACCCAGGAGACGGTAGAATCAGCTCCTCTCAAGTTCTGATTAGAACATGGTGAGCCAAGAAATTATAACTGCATCATTCATTTTGGCATAGACATAAGTGTTCATACTCGGAGTTCTGTGATTCCATAAGATGAAGTCACAAGAGAGTCTAAGTGCTTTCAGGAACAGCATCAGTCTAGCTAAGGACATGTGAAAGTGCAGAGGACTTCTTTGGAATGTCTCCCATGGACTGTAATTCCCTCAGTATCAGGAATTCTATTTACCTGACTCCATTTGTGAAGCTGCTGTATGGGCTGATGGCAGCAAGCACCACACTCAGCATTTAGTGGAATGGCTCTTTAGCTTCTAAGCTAGCAGCAGGGTCGGATGGCAGGGGCCTGAGGTCGCTAGCACAGTGCAGAGGGTGTCATCTACTTTGCTAGTGGCACCCCTCATCTTGTGCTCATCCTGTGTAGCTCACATGGGTGTGGTGGGTCCCACGACCAGGGTGGATGTCAGTGGTGTGTTTTCTGTTGAAGTTGTCTCTGTTCACACAGCTTGCAGCACCCTTGCCAGGCTCTGCCCTTGGCCAAGTGGCATCTTTAGGGGATAGTAGAGACTTCTTTTTTTCTTTCAAGTTTATTATGTACATATATAGTAAATTCTTAGCTGTATACATTCAAGGTTATCTGTATTCAGTTATCTAGAAATCACTGTTTTTTTCCTCTATTACACAGCCTAGTATACCTTCTACATGCCAGAACAGTGGTTGGAAAAGTAAGGTCCACTGGCCAATTCAGACTAGGGCCTCCTAGTTTTCTTTTAACAGAGTTATTCATAAATGTTTTTATATGGGGCAAAGGACTTTTCTTTGAAAATGAATATATCCACATAGAATCCAATGTAATCTTTCATAAATCATACCGATACTGCATTTTCTATTTTATTTTATTGTAAGGTAGTGAGTACATTTCTTGTTGCTTGTTAACCCCTCCCTCATTTGTATTTTTTTTTTTTTTTTGGTACTGGTTCTGGGGCTTGAACTCAGGGCCTATCCCCAAACCTCTTTTGTTCAAGGCTAGCACTCTACCACTTGAGCCACAGTTCTACTTCCAGCTCTGTGTGTATGTGTGTGTGTGCGCACGCGTGTGTGCACGTGCAAGAGAGAGAGAGAGAGAGTGAGGGGCAGGGAGGGAGATTAGAGATAACAAAGTCTTATGGACTTTCCTTCCTGGGTTGGATTCAGACTGGGATCCTCAGAGCTCAGCCTGCTGAGTAGCTAGAATTACAGGTGTGTCACTGGCATCTAGCTTTTTTTTTTTCTTTTAAAGTAGACATTTCCTCCTTTCCTTTTTTTTTTCCAGTCCTGGCACTTGAACTCGGTCTGGCTGCTGTTCCTGAGCATCTTTTGCTGAAGGCTAGCACTCTACCACTTGAGCCACGGCACCACTTCTGGTTTTTTCTGTGTATGTGGTATTGAGGAATGGAACCCAGGGCCTCATGCATGTGAGCCAAGCCCTCTACCCTGAGCCACCTTCCCAGCCCCAAGCAGAGGTTTCTTGACATGACTGTTGTACTTTTTTGAAAACAACAAATTGCATAACATACAGAAAGGCACACACAAGATTTTAATAAAAATAAAGCCTACAATATTATTCTTCAAAGAGCGTTTTGGTAAACCACGTAGGATAGGCGGCTGTGGGCCTTCGCACTCACTCTGGGTGTTGGACTTGCAGGCAGCTCCACAAAGCCCTCTAGAGGAGCCGAGCAGGACTGTCTTCTGAGTCCTCAGGGAGAACGCCGCGGCTTGTGCTGAGATGGCTGTGCTCACAGCTGTCCAGGTCGGCCACCGACGCCTGTCACGGCACCCGTTGCACCCGTGGCCCCGTGTTGCCTTGCGGCTTCATGGTGGTGCCTTCTTGTCTTCTTCTTTTTTAACATGTTGAACTCAGGGCCTCCCCATGCCCTCACTTGGCTTTCTTATTCATGGCTGGCACGCCACCACTTGAGCCACACCTCCATTCTGGCACTTTGCTGGTTCATTGGAGATGGAATCTTGAGGATGTGTCTGCACAGGCTGATGTCAGACTCCTATAGGATTATAGGCTCACTGGTGGTGCCTTCTGGGTAAAGGTCCACGAGCTGTTGTCTGTGGAAGTCCAGGGGTCTTTGGGGCCTTGGGGTGACTTGTCATCCAAGGGCTAGCTTCCTCAGCCCAGGAATCACACAGACCAAGGATTTTCTCACCATCTATTTGAGTCTATAAAGCTTTGTGCAGTTTCACACCTGTGGTTGTGTGTGAGCTGCAGCCGCAGCGTGGGAAGGCTGCCAAAGAGGCCAGGCCAAGAGCGCATGTTGCCTGAGCCTTTACAAAGAAGTCCGCGCCCCTGCTGGAGATGTAGTGTTTAGATCCAGTATAGTAGTAAGTGTGTTTCCTTCTGGAGAATGCTTCAACAGCATGGAGGCGTGGAGGGAGCGGGCCGGGACTCACTCGTCCCATACCTTGTACCTCTTCTCGTCTGTTTGGGAGCTGACAGGTCTTTTCTCCTTGTGTTTGGGCTCAGCCACTTTCTCTCTGATGTAGGAATGTGAGGATGGGTTTCTGAGCACTGTGGAAATATTACTATCTAGGGCAGGGAAGCTGTCACCATTCACAAGGGCACTAGCTATGTCTCTGGAATCCTGGGGTTGATAGCAGGCACTACTGCACTTGCCCTGATTGGTCTTAGAGGAGTCCCTGGGGGCTGGTAGGTACAGGTCTTGGAGGGATCCCGGGGAGGAGCGGGGGCACGGGGGAGCTGGTGGGTGCACAGGTCCTGGAGGGTCCCTTGGTGGGCTGGTATGTATGTAGGCCAGCCATCTGTTTTCCCACTTAAGAACAGAGGTTGTAGAGGACTGGCTGTGGTGTGGACCTTGATCTTGATGTCCTTTTCAATCCAATTCTTAGCTCTTATCTTCCCAGGTTTTGGAAACTCTTGAGGTGGTGGAGTATAATAAGCACATTCCAGATCCTTTGGGGGAAAGAGGGGAGTGTGAGAATGACAGGCATGTCCTCCTGCAGCAGCTGCCTTTCCCCAGAGGACAGAATTCCTGTGGGGCCCACGTGGGGCCGGGCAGGGAGTGAAGGGAACGTGCGTTGTAGAAATGCATTGGCCCACTATCCGCAGGGACACTCGGCTCAGAGCGGTGGAGGCCTGCATGCTCCCCTGAACAGAACTTGGGCTCAGCACTGGGACTTTAAGTTTGAGTGCAGAGGCGGCTGCAGCCGCTGGCCGCCCTCCCTCCGGAGGGTGTGAGGACACTGCCTCCTCCCAGCGGCTCTGGAGTGAGGAGCTCCTGTGTGCTTGGTGGTATCTGAATGGGTGATGAGTCATGCCTTGTGTTCTCCTCACTGTTTTGAGAACAGGTGTTTGGTAAGCTTGTATTTAATGATTAGTTGTTTCTTCTCATTTGTTTCTATAGGAGTGGATTTGCTGGGTTAGTTCTGAAAAGGTGAGTTTTTCAAGTAACTTACTCCTACATCAATATTTCAAACCCAAGTAACCGTGGGTTCTTGGTCCTTACCAGGATTGAGTTGTTCCCAGGCCTTTGCGTGAGTGTTCTTAGAGGCTGAGGCCAGAGAGGAGGCAGAGCTGTTAGGGCTCAGGAACCGGTGCTGTCAGCTCTCCTCCTGCAGTTTCTCTAGGAGGTGGGCTGGGTGCACGCGCCTCTCGCCAGGGCACCCTGAGAGCTTGCCCCAAAGCCCTTGGCCTTGTTAGTTATCTACAGCTCCCGTAGGAGCCATGCCTAGAACTCCTTTGCTTCTGGTTGTTCTTGGCCTTTGGGTGACATTTCTCTTTCCTGTCTTCAGCCATGGGAGGAAAGGCCCGCAGGAGCAGAGCCCCAGCTGTCCAGGCCAGGGCGTGTGGGCCACGTCATAGTTTTCAGGCTGTTGTGAGGTATACCGACGCCCTTTAAGAGCCAGTGGGGTGTGTGGCCAGGGCAGGGAGGGAGGAGGATGGGAGGGAAGTGCTGGGATCAAAGAGGGAAAGTTTCTTCCACTTTGGAGTTTGTGAGGCCAGGAATTCTGGCATCCACCGTGTCTCGGGTGGGAGGTTGTTTTCAGCAGATGTCAGAGGCCCGAGCCCGCACCCTTTCCTCCCAGCAGAACTCTGTTCACAGGGGCTGGGGCAAGCGCCCAACTCCTCGGCACCCAGGAGTCAGCTGGCCCCCAGAGTCTCCCTCTACTGGGAGACTGGGCAGGAGGGCTGCAGTGCCCAGCCAGCGCCCCTGCTTCTCCACAGCTGGGAAGGAGGGCAGACCAGGGTAGATGGGGAAGGGGGAACGAGAAGGGGGGAGAGACCCCTACCTTAAGATTTCTTCAGTGTTTGACTGCTACTTTGTTTCCTGAAGTAAGAAAGTGGCTTAGTCGGAAAAGGTGTATGTACCTTTAACCCTCCCTACTTCAGTTGATCCTCTCCCACCCTTACCCCAGATGTGGGGCACTGCAGGGCCAGTGCTGGTGAGGGAGGGTCCTCCTGTGCTCAGCTGAGTGCGCAGGCCGGCCGGCCTACCGGCCTGCCTGTCTGCCTGCCGGCCGGCCGGCCAGCCTACCTGCCTGGGAGCCACAGACAAGGGAGGCAGCAGCCCCGCTGCCCGGCCCTGAGAGCTCTGACAAGAGCTGCCCAGGCCACGCCTGTTGGTGAACGCAGGCTGTGCAGGCTGTGGCCGCCTTGGCCCTGTCACACAACTAGTGTGCGACTCTAGTGGGTGGTGGGAAGGGAGGGGACCTGGGGTGAGGACTTGCTGGGAAGGCACACAGGGTGTTCAGTCACTCCAGGAACCCCTTGCCCCATGGGAAGGGCCTGGTTAAGGACGCTAGGTGCCTGGGCTCAGCCTGGCCATTCTCCACTGGCACCCTGTCCTGTGTGAACCCACAGGGCTGAAGGAGGCCTGTGTCCTTCCACCCAGGCCTAGGTGTCCGTGTGCGCACGCACAGGGCACGGTTGCACAGGGGAGGTGCTGCACTTCTGGGAGGCACCCTGGCTTGGCCCAAACCCCTTGCCTGTGGCCCACCCCCAGTCACCCTACAGAAATGCATGCAGTACACAGGGCGTGGCCCCAGGCGTACCTGTGGGGGGTTTCTCAAGGCTCGGGCCTTCACAGCGCTCTTTGAAGCAGATGTCCTGGTGAACTTTGTAGACTCGCTTATACCTGTTGTCACAAGGAAAGCTCTGTGAAGTCAGAACTGAGGGAGAAACCTGCCTACTCTATGCAGTGCATACCCAGGGTGAATGACCATATAATGAGAGCATGCATGTATTAGATATCCAACTTAAACATGAATGAGTTAGGGCCAGGCACCGATGGTTCATGCCTGTAATCCTAGCTACAAAGAACAAAAATCTCAAGGACAGTGCATAGGCCCTGGCCAGAAGGGACGAAAAATACAGAAATTGTTGAGAACCAACATAACACTGTACTGTTCAGAGTATGTGGAAGTAAAAATGTCTGATCACAATTCAAAGGATGGGAGGAGTAAACGTATCCGTTTAAATGTGCCATTGTACTGCAGTTGGATACCAGTAATTCCAGGTATGTGGTGGTGAAATGAAGTTGCATATTGTAAATCCCAGAGCCACTACAACCACAGACAATGGTAAAACAATCCAAAATGAAGCAGAATAGGAGGAAATGTAATAAAGAACCAATGGGACAAATGGCAAACAAACAGCAAAATTGCAGATTTAAACCTAGCCACATTACGCCTAAGTGTCATTTAAATGGGCTAAAAGGATCATTGGAGGGGCTATCAGAGTCCAGGCCTGGAGATCCTCCCACCGCGCCTCTGAACGCTCCCCAGTCCTGGCCCCACCCCCTGCCTCACTCCAGCCTGGCTGGGCTCCATCCTCGGGGCTTGCCAAGCATACCTGGAGGCAGAGCCATGGAAACATTCTGCGTTGTTGTCACCTCTTCCCTGAGACCTGCCTTGACTCTGTTTCCCACATGGCCTTTTGCCTTGTGCTGTCATTCCCTTTCATCTGAGGCCCTCTTTTCTTGTTTTTTTTTTTTTTTTTTTTTTTGGTCAGTCGTGGGGCTTGAACTCTGGGCCTGGGCGCTGTCCTTGTGCTCTTCAGTTCAAGGCGAGCACTCTACCACTTGAGCCACAGCACCACTTCCGGTTTTCTAGAGATTTATTGGAGATAAGAGTCTCATGAACTTTCCTGCCTGGGCTGGCTTTAAACTGAGATCCTCAGATCTCAGCCTCCTAAGTAGCTAGGATTACAGGCGTGAGCCACCAGTGCCCAGCTCCCTGTGGCTTTTTGTTTTTGCTGGTCCTGGGGCTTGAACTCAGAGCCTGGGCAATGTCCCTGAACCGCTTTGTGCTCAAGGCTAGTGCTCTATCACTTGAGCCGAAGCACCACTTCCTGCTTTTTCTGTGTCATTTATTGGAAATGAGTCTCACAGACTTTTCTGCCTGAGCTGGCTTTGAACCACGATCCTCGATCTCAGCCTCCTAGAAGCTAGATTTACAGGTGTGAGCCCCTGGTGCCCGGCTCTTGGTGTGGCTTTCTACGACAGCCCCGCTGGCACGCATGCTCTTAGGCCATTCTCTTACCTCCCTTGTGTGCAAGTGCTCCCTGGTGTGTGCCGGTCTCAGAGCACATGCCAGGCACCCAGCACCATGTGGGCTGACTCGGTGGGGTTAGCAGGAGGGTCCCAAGAGACCCTCAGCCCACTTTGCCGATGGGAAACTGAGGTAGGAATAGTTTGTCCAGGGCAAATGGCAGTTAATGGTAGCATGGAGACCATGTTCTAGAGGCTCCAAGGAGGAGAGGAAGGCCCAATCCCCGACGTCTGCAGGTGACCGCAGGAGGTAGGTCAAGGCCTTGGTTTTGCTCTGGCAGCTCTGGCCCTTGGTATGCTGCTCATTGCCGCCTCAGGCTCCTCACTGTCACACGGAGGGCTGGCATGGCCTCATTACCCCCCATCAGCCTCCCCTCCCCGGAGACACGGAGGCAGAGAACCCACACCAACTTACACATGGTGGCAGACACCTCCTTCCCAGACAGGAAAGGACTTGGTCTCCGAGAACATCCGTGTGCAGGGACGGGGCACCTTCTCACAAGCTGTGGTACAAGAAAACCGTGTCACCCTGAGGAAGGCCGGTGGCCTGGGGCCTGTGCCAGCTGGGCCCTGGGCCCCGCCGATGGCAGGGGCTGACCTGATCCCACTGGTGTGCGGCCTGCGGGCACTTCCCTCCGGCCTTGACCTCTGGGTCAAGGCTGGTGTGGGAGCAGCTGACTTCCCACCCTGGAGGTTCGGTCCCACCTGGGACCTTCCCACAGCTCTGTTGTCCCTGGCCCCTGCAGTGTCATCTTGCTGTGTGTGGCCCCGCCCCGCTGTCCAGCCCTTGGGCAGTACCCCATCCCGGTGCTGTGGATGGGTGTGTGGCCCGTCTCTGGGCCCCTATCCCCACTGCCTCCCTCCCTGGGCACCCAGGGCTGAGCTCCGGGGTGCCAAGGCTGGGCCCAGCAGCCAGCCCTGACGTACCGAGCTCGCAGCGCCTGCCTTTGAAGCCAGGGCCACAGTCACAGCTGTGGGCAGGGGCACCCGGCACACAGGTACCTCCATTCTGACAGGCATCTTCTGAACAGCCTCCAGGGGCATCTGGAAACAGACAGGAAGGGTCGGCTGTGTGGTCAGGAAGGCCGGCTGGTACCGCAGGCCCTCTACATGTCTGCCCCTTCTGTGTCAACACTGCTAGTCTGGGGGTGGACACAGGTTAGGTGTGCAGAAAGGGGAGGAGTGGGAAGACAGGCCTTTGTATGCCTGGCCTGATTCACAGAGAGGAGGAGGAATGCAGGGAAGGACCCTCTGTGCATGGCTCTAATGTTCTTTGCTTGGAGTTGACCAGAGCGTCTTCCCATCTCGGCAGCTCCAGGCAGCACTGGCCTCTGCCCTCGGTGTCGCCTGTGGCAGTTGACACTGCCAGGAAGTTGCCAGCCTGCCCTTGCCCTCTCAGATCGTTTCCCCATTTTTGTTCTTACTGCTCTTTTAATTTTTTCAAGATACCCGTGATCTTAATTTTCCACTTAAAAAAATTGACAATACAAAAACAGGATTGTGACTTCTCCATCACATCTAGTATGGAAAGAGGCTCAGCCTTCTTCTGTCCATCTAACCCAGCCCCTGCATCACACTGTGTGGTCCCACTGTGTGATAGCCCAGACAGACCTCGAGGCTGTCTCTGGTTACCACCCCTTAGCTGTCATGGAGACTGGTAAATGCTGCAGGATGGCCGTGACCTTGGGGCCACGGGCCATGTCAGACCTCTCCTGCCTCTGGGCTTCTTCAGATGGAACGTGTGGTAGCAAGGGGCTCAGTCATGTGACCGTCTGAGGGAACGCTCGCTTACTTCAACCCTAACACGCCAGACAGCACACCTTCACTCTGCGTGAACTGTGCCTTCAATAAGGGACACTGAAGCACCAGCACTGGACTGGGCCCACACTGGTGCCTGAGGACAGGGCCAGCACAGGCCTCCCATGGGGAATGCCAAGCTTGAATCCAGTTTGCAGCCCACCCTGTGGGGCTGCATGCCCTGGGGCCTGGGCAGGCCTCTGGTGTGACCCACCACGCATCTGGTTTTCTTTAGGGTCAGTTGAATGAGCCCACCCTGAGCTTGTGATGTAACTCAGGGAAAAAGGTTGGTCCTAGAATTGTCCCTAGAAGGACAGAGCAAGTGACAGACTAAGGAGAGCACGTCTGTTGGCACCCTGCGGACTGCCGTCCCTCAAGCCCACATCTGCCCCGAGGCCTCTCCCTCCACAGGCTCCACTGCCCTGAACCAACAGCACCTCGGAGGGAGTGGGGGGGGAAGGCCCCTCTTTTCCTACATGGGTGGGTGGGTTGGGCAGGTGCTGTCTGAAAGGACAGCTGAGCCACCTGGGTGGCGAGGCTCAGCTCGCCCTGTGCCCTCCAGCCCCAGTGTGTGATGCCCTGTGGTGGCCCAGGAGCCTACTTTCTGACTTCCTGTCCACGTCCTTGTCACCACGTCCAGGGAGCTGGAGAACCAGGTGGGCCTGCTCAGGGGTCTCCTCCATATCCTTGTCACCACGTCCTGGGGGCCGGAGGGCCAGGTGGGCCTGCTCAGGGGTCTCCTCCATGTCCTTGTCACCACGTCCAGGGGGCCGGAGGGCCAGGTGGGCCTGCTCAGTGGTCTCCGTGTCCTTGTCACCATGTCCAGGGGGCCGGAGGGCCAGGTGGGCCTGCTCAGGGGTCTCCGTGTCCTTGTCACCACGTCC